TTGGATTTTTCAAAGGGGAACTTTGAAGAATGCAAGCAAAGCTTTCATATGGATGACAGTAAAGAAGAAAGGAAGTCGACATAAACGCTTTGCCAATATATTTCTTGAACATTTCATCTGTTGTTGCTTAAATTAATATTTTATAAGACAATCCATGTTTCAAAATGTTTGAAGAATAGAAGTACTATTTCCGAAAACTATAGTAAATAAAGCACTACAAATTCCGCACTTCCAATTCCCATTTTAGTAGAAATGGTCTTCATGTACTTTATTTTTTACATCTATTAGATATTTCATCTGAATCGTTTATCATTATAAAGTGAAACCCCCGTAGACAATTGGTTCGATTCTTATTGGATTCTAAATTAAACTATAGTGGCCCCATCCAAGGACTATAGCTCTCTTACACAATCTCCTGATATCTCTACCAATGAATTAGTATGGAATGAATTAGTATGGAATGAATTAGATGGAGAGTTTGAAGAGAATACTCAAAGAGTGAGAGTGAGCTTTTTCACTGCTTAAAGAATGCTTGGGAAAATCTGTCATCTACTTATTTTAAAAAACTGTTAGAAAGAATGCCAGGAATTTGTAAAGCAGCGCTTAAGGCAGACGGTGGTTTTATTGACAAAAACAAAATATGATGCTGTTGTATAATATCTTCTTATTGTTAAGTACTTATTCTTTTGTCAAAATAAAAGTAAATACACTGGAATTCCTGAATTTTTATCTTTTACTTTAAAAAATGCAAACATATCTCATATTATTTTTATTTTTTTAAGAAATGCAGGATGGCTCCAAATTTTTACCAGGACTGTATGTTCATCAGTATATCCGTAGAATAATGATTTTAAGATATGTAAAAATATTTATTTACGGCTGTTAAACCGATACAAGACCCAAGAGCCACTCAAAGTAGTGGGTTACTGAATGAGGCTGTTGAAAGTAGGTACCGGTTAACCCAAGACTTAAAGATATTAAGACTGTATGGATCAAGGAAGCATCCTCGCATGAAACAGTCTGTCCCCCTATGAGTGTTGGCTTCAATGTTTACTGTTATATATAATAGACACAATATTACAAACATTTACGAAGCAGATTAAAAGTGACATCAGAGACGATATTCACTTCCTTAGCTCCGTGCCACAAAAAGTAGGTCCGGGAACATTTATGGCAACTATTGACATTAGTAGCCTGTAGAGCAACATACTCCATAAAGCAGGTAAAAAGATTGAAAAACATCCAGAAACACTACATCCCAGATTAACTAAGGAATTCATTATCGATAGTATAGACCTAATTCTAAACAATAACATATTTGAATTTGACAACTAAATCTATATCCAAACCCTAATTAGGGAACAAAAATACCACCTACATATGCCACCGTAACATTAGCTTACCTAGAGGAAAACCTCTATAAAAAGATAGAACATATATATGGGGAAAATATAAAAACCCACTTCACTAAATCATGGAAACGATACTTAGATGATTGCTTCATTTTCTGGAAATCCTCATGGGGTGATATTAACCAATTCTACACTCTACTTCAAAACTTGCACCCAAAAATCAAATTCACACAAGAATATAATTACAACGAATTACCATTTTTACATAAACTCATTAGAAATAAAAACAACCACATAATCACAGATATCTATCATTAATCTACAGACACCCAACAATATCTTCATTTCAAGAACCCATCACCCAAAAAGCTACCTGCAATCAATCCCCTATTCTCTAGCACGTACGGTTTGTACTATAGTGACTGACAAACACCTCCGAAAACACGCCTAGAAGAATTACATAAAACTCTAAAAAAAAAAAAAAAAAACGAGGCTACGCCACAACACTAATAAACAAAGGTTTTCACTCACAAAAAATCCTTTAGTCCAACTACGAAATCCAAAGAAACGTAACGTCGAACAATCTCTAGCATATGTTTTAACATACAAGAACAATCCAGAACTATTTACAGAAATTACAAAAATTTATACCTACTTAGCAAGAATGACAAACTGAAAAATATACTAAAAGCAACCAAAATAATTAAAAGCAAACGCCAATCTAAAAACCTAAAACGCATATTAACCTCATCCAAATTTAACCAACACACAAAACATACAGAGACAAAATGCAGCAAAAGAAAAAAGATGTGGGGTTTGTGACATCATTATAGAAGGAAACTCCTACAATTTAGAAAAACCCAAAACGACATTCATAATAAGTAAAAATTTAAACTGCAACTCCAAAATGTGATTTATGCACTCAAATGCACAAAATGCAAGAAGTCATATATAGGTATCAACCAACAACCAAACAACAGGGTTTCCCTTCACAAAAGCAACATAAAATTACCAGACAACAGAAAACACTTTCTATTACAACACGTCGTCTATAAACGTAACCGGGGTGAATTTGAAATTATGCCAATATACCAAGCAGACAATTATTCTTACCTACAAGTACAAGAAAAAAAATTTCATAAACTAATTTAAACCAGAACTAAATAGATCATAAAATGCGCACGTAATGGCCGAATATGTATGCGCATATTGGCAGAAACAATAGTCTACACAACATAGGAAGTGTGGGTATATATATATATATATATATATATATATATATATATATATATATACGTATATGTGAAAATATATAGAAAATAGGAAAGAACTCGTTAGGTAAATAATCCAAAGTTGTTTACTATTTTTGTTATTATTTTAAAAAATAGTGCTCGATACAAAAGTAGAGCATAAATATAATTATTTATTTAAATAAAAATATGATTCCAATCATATTTTTTATATATGATTGGAATCATATTTTTAAATAAATAATTATATATATATATATATATGTATATATGTGTGTGTATACTAATTTCTTATAATAAGACAGTATATATGTATAGAGAGGGAGTGCGCATGTACATGAGCGTATTGGTATATATATATATATATGCACATATTGACAAAAACAAAACTACTCACGGGTACACATGCGAACCTTACACAACATAGGAAGTATGTATGTGTGTATTTGTGTGTATGTATGTGTATGTGTGTATGTATATATGTACATACATGTATACTAATTCCTTATAATAAGTCAGTATGTATGTATGGAGAGGGAGTATACGTATGCGTATGCATGCTGACAAAAACACAAAAAATGGCAATAGATCTAAGAACACACAAGGTTCATTAAAAGATAATATTATATATATTTTTCTTACCCTTTCTCTGACCAGTCTTAAATGTTTTGTTACCCTTCACGGAGAATTCTTTCACTGCCAGTTCAAGAAAGATATTTGGGTCACTAACACACAAAAAAGAGAATGTTTAACATTGAAAAACGTAAGAAAAATTAATTCCTTTTAATAATATGTGAAAATATCCACTCTTTGCCTGATGAAGTTCGCGATACCGGAAACCCGTGTAGCAAAATTATGGAAAATAAAGCATAATATATTTTTTTTAAAAATCCACATTCCAACCAAAAACGTGTACGGTTTCTTTCTTCTTTTTATTATACACAGTTTTCTCTCCTTGCAACTAGTATAACCTCTTCCTTTATATATATATATATATATATATATATATATATATAAAGGGAATATATATATATATATATATATATATATATATATATATATATATATATTATATACATATAAATATATTATACACACATATGTATTATATATTTATATATATATTATATATGTAAACATATATATATATATAAATGTATATATTTATAGATATGTTTGTATATATATATATATATATATATATATATATATATACAAACATATCTATGAATATATACATTTATATATATATATTTTATATATATAATTATATAATTAAATATATAAATATATAATTATATAATTAAATATATAAATATATTATACACACATATGTATTATATATTTATATATATAATTATATATGTAAACATATATATATATATAAATGTATATATTTATAGATATGTTTGTATATATATATATATATATATATATATATATACAAACATATCTATAAATATATACATTTATATATATATATGTTTATATATATAAATATAGAATATATATATGTGTATAATATATTTATATATGTATATAATATATATTATATAAAATATATGTTTGCGTGCATGTATATATATATATATATATATATATATATATATATGCCAGTGTGTGTGTGTGTGTGCGTGCGTGCATGTATATATGTGTGTGAGCGCGTGCATGTATATATTTCTTACTAAATAGTTACCCAGTATCAAACTTAAGTCCCACTCAAGATAGAAGGTTACTGGCTGAGTTAGTTGTAAGGACGTAAAGGAAGTAAGAGAAGCATATTATGAGGATATGTAGGATAGATAATGAATGTAACCCTACAACCACACATGGTCATAGGACGGATGAGGAAGATGATGTTTATCATGATTATCATGATGATGATAACAATGATGATGATGATGACCTGAGCCGAAAATTGTTATTCTAAGATAATTCTTCTTGCGAAGACAATGTAAAAATGGGAAACAATGAAGGACTTTCGTAATAAAAAATGAAAAATGTACTTTCTTAAGGAAAGGACATTTCTTTTTGAAATATTAGCTATATATCAGTACATATTGTTTTGCGCTAATCAATGTGTCGAATAAATAGCTATGAAAGATAAAGTTTTTCAATTAGTGGTGTGTTTATTTAAGGGCGAATGTGCGCACAATGCTATAGCTGTCGTCAAAAAATGTCAGGTTTTCTCTATGGCAGAATTTTTTACTTACAGTCGATACCATGAGTGAAGAATTTAGCGTGTTTTTAGAACTTTCTAGAGTACCTTCCTTCCTTCCTAAATGCAATATTAAGACTCTTAATAAATTCAATATTATGAAACAAGAAACTTACGTTGGAAACAAACATGAATTCTCAACTGCTATGTGATATTAATCTTATATAGCAGGGAACTTACGGACAAATCACGTTGAAACACCGGTTCAAGTACGATCACCGAAGTTAAGCAAAGTCGAGGTTAGTTAATGCCTAGATGGGTGACTGCTTGGGAATACCAAGTGCTGTAAGCTTGGATGTGCGGGTGGTGTCATGAAAAATGGCTCAGAATTTTTAATCGTAAAACTGAGTTCCAATTCAAATTAGTTTCGTTAGATTTGCTTACGCAAAAATTCCCTTGGGAGGAAAGGTATGAATCCACCTTTTCGCCTCCTCGCTATGGATTAATTAGTAAAACATGTACTACTAAACCCATTATTATCTCAAAAAATATTGCGTACGAAATATTTAGATTTCGGCATTAAATAACCCATAGTGGTTGATATGCTGTTAAACAAAAACAGCCAACAAAAAATAGCAGGTGAATGCAAGATAATCTTCTTTTTGAATCAAGAGAAGACTTGAGGCAACATAGATGTAGTTACACAGAATAATACTGAGAATGCCATGGACGACCCATGTGATCAACGAGGAAGCTTTAAGGAAAACGAAAACACAAAGCGTCCTGGGTAAGACGATAAACTACACCCGCGTCCTGGGTAAATAGACAAAGGGTAGGACTATAAACTACACCCAACAGCAGGTTTTGAGGAGTATGGGACCACCTCTTAATTGCTGGTGTTTCCAGATCCACCCTGACCAGGGGTGGTAGCACCTGTTATGGTCCCAGGTATGGGCAAATAGTTAATCTCTAAACTGAGGCCAAAACATTATGAAAGTGTAAAAATATGTTTTAATATCAGGAATACATTTCCGAAAAAAATTATTACCAGCATTCTTACCAGCAATATATTTTTGGAGAAAATAAATATCACCAGCAATATATTCTTGAGGAAAAAATATTATCAGCAATATATTTTTGAAGGAAAAATATCAGCAATATATTTTTGTAAATAATTATTACCAGCAATACATTTTTTAAGGAAAAACATATTACCAACAATGCATTTTTTTTTAAATTACCAGCAATAAAAATCTCATTGGCATTAAATAACCCACTATGGTTTATATGCCGTAAAAAAAAATAAAAAAATAAAAAATATAAAATTGCATAGGATCAGTAGGAGAAAGTAGAAAATACTCCGATGCATAATGGAAAAAGTAGGATTTAATAATCTGACACTCATAGAACATAGTGAAATCAAGACGAACAGAGAAAACCATTGAGTATCCTGTCTAACGAGTATGTATAAATGAACGGCAGAAAATGGACTGGTTATTGAGTGATAGGGATAAAATAAACATTGCTTATAACTAGAAAGGATATGAAGTTGTGCAGAGCCATGATGGCCGATGACCTGATAGGGCACATGAAAGAAGAAGGGAGCATTTATTTTCGCATCACCGTGGTCAAATAGCACGTTAGTCTCACATACCATTCATTCCAACTTTAGTGAGTTCGATAAACGTCAAAAGATGCTTAGAGATAAGAATTTGGAGATAGCCCGCGTCTATCTCCCGTCGTGAAGAGACACAGCCCAAAACAGAAGTGTTGGAAGGAGTGTCGTAACACGAAACCTTTAATTCTTAAATATAGGAAAAGCTTGTACGAGCATGTACACCAAACGGGTAATAAAGGAGGAAATTCTATTTTTTAAAGAGTAGTTATTTTTTTTTTATGCTTCTTGATAAAAAATGAGAAAAATAATAATGGATCCAGGGAAATAAAATGTTAGGTTCCTAAATGTATTATTTTAACAATGTGATAAAGTTGACCATTCTTAGCACCAGTTTCTCGCCCTTTTCCGGCTCTATTCTATTCGGGCAGTTATTCATGCAGACATAGAACTGTCTTTCTCTTGTTCTTCCAGCTTCTTTGTAGGCAAATACTACAAGAAAATGGCGTAACTACACGAATTCTAGTCAATAGGAAATTCATGAATGCTAGAGCTTCAAATTAATCGTTGAGGTTCAAAACACGAATAAATGATATCCGCACCTTTGGGTAAAGTTTAAATCAATTGATCGTATCACCTGAATTGATTGATTTGATTAAATCAATTCATGGTATTCCCTGTTGAATATCAATTGAAGAGTCTAGTAAGATGCATGAGTAAATTATTTAAGAAAATGTGATAAATGTAAAAATCATTTTTGGTTTGGTTTATTTTCTTTTACGGCATATCAACACATCAATGGGTTATTTAATGCGGACTAGATTTGGTAATATTTTTGTTCAAAAATATATTGCTGGTAATAATTTTTCCTTCAAAAATTCATTCCTGGTAATAATTTCTTTTTTTCCAAAATTTTATTGCTGGTATTAAAATCTATGAAGGATTAAATATTTGCCCATAGCTTGAACCCTGACAGGTGCTACCACCCTGGGTCAGGGTGGACCTGGGAACATCAGCAATTAAGAGGAAGTTCCACGCTCCTGAAAACCTTCTAATCAGATGTAGTTTATCGTCTTACCCAGGTTGAGGATGTAGATTATCGTTTTACCCAGAACGCCTCATTTTGGGGATGGGGATCTGACCCTTCTGCAGAGGTGCAGTCGGCGTATTCAGAAGCCCCAGGCAACAGGGTTGATCCATTTGGTTGTTTGCAATTTAATGTCTGAATTTTAAATAAAATCTTTTAATTCTGTTTTAATATATTATTATAATAGTTGGACAGAAATATATTTCATAACTCATTCCTAAAGATTAAAGGGGGTACGATTAAAAAATCGGATTAAAGAATCGGATTAAAGAATCAAAGAGCTGAGGTCAAATTCCAGTCGAGTTCATTACATTCACTTACATGCTAATACCCTTGGAAAAAGTATTAATTCATCTCTTCTCCCTCAGCTATGGGTAAAATAGCAGGACAGTCTGATTTATATAGCTTTGGGTGGCAATTTGTCTCTGAAAAGGAAACTCAATTCAAGCCACCTTCTGTTTTGTAGGTCCTAATTCGTTAAGCAAAGAAGAGAATAATTTAAGATGAAGGACGAGATAGTCTTTACATCCCCGGTGAAAAAGGAACCGGCAAGGAATTGTACTATTCTGTCTTGAATGCCACCATGAACCACAATTGTGAGATGGAATGATGGCCAGAGCGACACACAATGTGATAATTTAATAAAATGAATGAATGATTAAAGATTTGTTAATTTTATATCAAATTTATCATATTTAAGTTAAGACATTATATACCCCGATATTTTGAACATAAAAAAGAAAGGACGCGTTTATTTTTTAAAAAAGAGATTCAAGCTTCTCCATAATGTTACTCAGACTAGTGCCAACACTAAAAGAGCATGGAGTGAAGGATCCACACGTGATCGGACAGCACACGTGATGTGAACTTCCTCAGTGGGGATACGAGTCTTGAAGATCAAGATGGTAGCGGACGTCCATCTGCAATAGACGATTAACATCTGAAAACACTAGTCGAACAAAACCCACGTCAAAGTGTCATAGAAATATCTAAGATAATGGACATCAGAACAATATCGGACAATCTCAAGAAAATTGGTTAGGTGGAGTAACTCGATAAATGGGTTCGACATGAACTCAGTGAAAATCAAAGAGTTCGACGATTTGAAGTTGTCTGATGCTGCATCTGCGAAATTCGAAGGATCCGCTTCTTGATTGAATATGGACTTGTTACGAGAAAGGGATCCTATATGATAATCGTAGACAAACTTCCCAATTGTTTGCTCATGAAGAAACAAACATTTTCCAAAGCCAGAATTCCATCATTATCCGCCATTACAGTTTTCTAAAATCGAATCAAAACAACACTAAGATTACTGCCAGGAACTGGATAAAATGCAAATTCAGTTAAGCAAAATGCAACCGGCACTGTTTATTTGACGACATCTAATGCTAATTTACGACATTGTTCGGCCACATATTGCTAGGATAACACGACAGAAACTCGCCGATTTCGTGCACTCTGAACCACACTAATAGTTTGGTAGTGAAATTTAGGATTTCTCGGTTTTCTATGAAATTGATTTTGATAAAACTTTGCCCAGCTGGTTTCCAGAATAAAACCATTGTTCGGTTTTCATTATTCTGTGTAACTTCCTTCATTTTTTTATTTTTTATTTTTTTGGTGAACCACTCTATTAGAGTCTCTCCTCTCTAAGAACAACTGGATGTGGGCAAGGCCTCAACGATGAAGAAAAGTCTAACATCATCAAGGAAAATGCTAAAGGCAGCTCTCTTCATGTTATTGCGGGGAAGCTAGGTCGTTATTTGGACACGGATTAGGGATCCTTGGCCAAGGAAGAAGCGATCTGATTGTGGGACCTTCAAGGTTATGACAATAAGGATTTAAGGAATGTTATCTGAAAGTCACGTGGGAAACCCAAACACACATGCAAAGCCATTTTAACCCTCGCTGGACTTACCCGTCTACTGAAAACAACCGGAAATCGCATCCTTTGGACCATGTCTTCTGTGCGAGCTTCCTTGAAACTGCCCCTGCCCACTTTATTGCCTCGTTACAGGAATTTGAGGTTTCAATAGGCCCGGAAGTACATGACGTTCGACATGAGTTGTGCTCTGACGAAACCAGTGCGACTCTTGACAGACCTGACGGCTGGGAAAATGGTTAGGTCTATTTCGGAAATGAACGTCACCAACGTTTACAACGTCAACAACAGGGTGGAGGAGACATCTTGCGGGCTTGTATCATTGGAGACACACTTGTTGGCCCAGTCATGGTACCTGAAGTCTTTAAAGTGATCGCAGCCGCGTACTGCCATCTCTTAAAGGTCTTGGATCCATGGCTAGATCCCATACCTCTGTCACTTCTAAGGACTCTAGTATTCATACATAACAACATTCACTCCCACTCTGCCACTGTCACCCAAGCATTCCTAGGCTCTTACGGCATACAAGGTGAAAGGCTGATGTTGTGACCGCTTGCCTTTCTGGATCACAACCCTATTATCATTAAACAAGTTATTTAAGGCGATAGACGCCAATTTACGTCGATATCTTATGGGCGACCATCAAATCTGCAGAAGAGGCAGTCAAACCGGCTACGATAAAAATTTGACATATTTAATGACTAATAATTTTTTTAATGTTATCCGTCGCTCATGTAGCCAAATAACTTATTATTATGTCAAT